TTCCAGTTCTACCTGGAAAGGCTGACATCAGGAACAAGATTATTCTGCTAGAGTTCCTTATCACGCCTCAATGTTTTGCATATATTAATTGTTTTTTTTGTCGTAATCCCTTCCTGAGTCTTGCTTGGCCCCATTTAACCTGGCTTGCTCTATCACCCTTTTTCCGTGGCTCTGCATGATACTTGAATCATCCACAAACCGAATGGCCGAATTGATTTTCTGCAACCCTTCTCATTGGCCAATTTGCAGGGAAATGTCAAGCAAAGGGTGTAAACGATTTAATTTGACAATCTGCTGCGAATCTGCACCCAGAGGCTTTGGTGGCTGCACCACGTAGCTAACGTGTTGATTGAAAAAAAAAAGTAACCACGGCTGCAGGGGAAATGAAATGAACGAGGTTCCATACTTCCCCGTCTGCTTTTGACTAACAAGCTAAGATTCGGTCTTCAGATAAATTGTCCTGGTGGGGTTTGTGTTCTTGACCAATAGTTGCAATCAAGAGCTGAAGAAGGGGCTAGAACAGAGCCGGGGGGGGGGGGAAAGGTCCTTTTTGTGTACAAGTTCCCCACCAAGAAAGGAAAAAAATAATAAAGTCACACGGAATCTCCCTTGGCGATTGATGAGGAGTATGTCTAATCTAATGAAGAGAAGGACTAGGGGTGACATAGTAACAGTCTTCCAATATTTGAGGGACTGCCACAAACAAGAAGGGGGTCAACCTATTCTCTAAAGCACCTGAGGGCAGTGTAGGAGATGACCAGGCTGAGCCCGAAGGAGGGATCAAACACATCATAAGTCACGGGTCCCGACACACCCGCAAGAGATCTAACTTCAGCCCACTTCGAATGCCTTCTTATCTCCTGCTCATTTCCCTTGACTGCTAGTTGGTCAGATTCTTCTAGAGAGCTTGCAATAAGTCCTTATACTCATTTGAACTGTCCTGATTTCCACCGTGCTTGACAGGCAGGTCAAGAAGTACAGCTGGAAGATGGATGGAGAGATGGAGAGATGGAGGGAGATGATAGACGGAACAGATGGAAGCTTATCAAAAAGAGATCCCACCTAGAAATAGGGAGAAATTTCCAGGCACAACAATTAAACTTGCCTCCAGAAGTTGTGGATGCTCCATCGACGGAGGTTCTCAAGAAGAGATTGGGTAGGCATTTGTCTGGAATCCTCAAACAGAAGGTTGGTCTAGAACAGTGTTTCTCAACCTTGACAATTTTAAGGCATGTGGACTTCAACTCCCAGAATTCCACAGCCAGCAATGCTGGCTGTGGAATTCTGGGAGTTGAAGTCCACATGCCTTAAAATTGTCAAGGTTGAGAAACACTTGTCTAGAAGACCTCCAAGGTCCCTTCCAACTCTATTGTTCTATGTTCCGTGGGAGAATATTTGTAGCTCAGGGTTGAAATGAGGGGTCCTTGGTGCTTTCTGAGCTTGGTGCTTTTCTTGCAGATGTTTCATTACCCAAACTAGGTAACATCATCACCAGCATTGATGACGTTACCTAGTTTGGGTAATGAAATGTCGGCAAGAAAACAAGTAAGCTCAGAGATCACCAAGGACCCCTCCTCAGTTCTGTGTTTCTGATTATTCCCCAATTCAGACAACACCAATGTCTGAAGAACTTCAAAAACTAGAACAATTTTAAGCGAAGCTCTCTCCCTCCTTGAAAGAAACTTTCCAAGTCAAGTCGAAATGAGAGCCAGTAGGAAAAACGGCAAGATTTGTTCGGTTGCATGCATAAATTATCGATACATCCATCACTTAATTTATTCCAGCTTTCTTTATAATACCGAGCTGTTCCCAAGGGTTGGGTGGCAGCTCAGAAAACTTTTCCCTTTTCCAAAAGCCGCACAAAGGCCTCGTTCCTGCGAACCACAAACTTGTCAGAAAAGATTAATTAACAAATTAGGACGGGGCTGGGATGTTGCCGAGGAAAAAGGTCATGAGTTTTTAAAATCAATTCCTCCCTTCGCACAACCCAATTTTCATTTAAGTGTAATTTTGGGGGGGGAGGGGAAAGGGGGGAATTTTAACGAAGTGACACAGGAAGGTATCTAGAGGCAGGCAGGTGTGTTTTAAACTACCTTCTGGTGACACTTTTTTGTTTTAAAAAAAATGGAGGTGAAAGAACTGGAAAGCCAGTAATTTACACCTATAAACATTTGTGACTTCTTTCTTTCTTTCTTTAAGCGGATTTATTTAAAGAAACAGGTGGAAAATTCACGGGGGACCCCCAAAGAATAAGTACAGGTAGTCCTCGACTTACAACAGTCCGTTAACTCCCAGATTTAGGCAGATTTAGGCAAGATTATTTGCCAAAAATAGCCTTAACTGCTCCTAACATTTCAGCTTCCCTTTGAAAAGCACAATGAGAAAGGAAGGAAGGAAGGAAGGAAGGAAGGAAGGAAGGAAAGAAGGAAGGAAGGAAGGAAGGAAAGAAGGAAGGAAGGAAGGAAGGAAAGAAGGAAGGAAGGAAGGAAGGAAAGAAGGAAGGAAGGAAGGAAGGAAAGAAGGAAGGAAGGAAGGAAGGAAGAAAGGAAAGAAGGAAGGAAGGAAGGAAGGAAGGAAGGAAGGAAGGAAGGAAGGAAGGAAGGAAGGAAGGAAGGAAGAAAAGCTGGTTTCTATGATCCTCAAATTCCCAACAACAACATTAGGATGAGATTTCTTTCCAGGAAAAAATAAAATAGGGACATCAAGCTGGCTGAGAATCCAGCAAGTCAAAAGGTTGATGGATTGGATGTAACCAAAGAGACATCAATTAACTTCCCACCCCTTCATCCAGTCTTAAATCCAGACAGTCCAACAGGGCATAAGAAACGGATTTTGATTTTGTTTTTCTTTTTTCCCTCAGCTGCGCTTTAAGCACCGCAAGAGTCTCGGAGGGCAATGGAAGATTTGTCTTCTTCGTTGCAATCGCGCTGCTCGGCGAGGGCCCCTTTTTACTTTCTGCCACGACCATTTCAAAGTAAGTCCTCTTCAGCAAAGTCCGGCTTTTAATTTAGGCAGATTATCTTCCCTCCGCAGCCTCTGCTTCTGTTTATCTCTGCCCAGTTATAAATCAAGACCCGTTAGACGGCACAGCCACCTCCATATATCAGCCTGCAGATTTATTTATTTATGTATTAATGAACATGCTTTGGAAGGCTCAGTCTTGCCATTTAAAATAAAATAGATGTTTAAGAAGAGTTGGATGCTAACTTAATAAGGATGGTGGTTGGTTAACAACACATCAATCTGGCTTCCCCATTGACTTTGCTTGTCAGAAGGTCGCCAAAAGGGACACTGCGACCGTCATAAATAGGAGTCAGCCGCTAAGTGTCTGGATTTTGGCCACGTGGCCATGAGGTTGTAAGTCTGAAAAACTGTCCTATGTCCCTTTTTCAGTGCCATTGTCACTTCGAAGGTCACTAAATGAACTGCTGTAATTCGAGGACTCCCTGCATACACCCAAACACTGGAATTTATTGCTCTATGAAGAAGTTTGAATTGCTGAGTTTGGAGCATCCTCCAAAAAGATAATTGCGTTTGGCAGAAAGAGGCTATTTCTCTGAACTTCAAATCCTTGCATCCCAGTTGATGCCTGGTTTTAAAATTTAGTAATGTGTATGTAAGCAGGGAGTTGAAGAAAGCCACGATTTAATGCACATATTTGTCCCGTTCAAAGTGAGTTCAACGAGGGAGACAAACTGAGGTTAGCAGCAAACTCTGGGGGTGAGATAGCATTTGAACCGGTTTTTATCAAACTTGGCGACTTTACAATGTGAGGACCAGTTCCCAGAATTCCTCAGCCAGCATGGGAATTCTGGGAGTTGAAGTCCGCAGATCTTAAAGTCGCCAAGTTTGCAAAACAGGGCATTTTAAACTGTTCTTTATAAAGCACTTAACGTTCTAAGCTAAAACAAACCCAGGCTCATTATGTTGATTGTAGTGTATCAATTCAACTGCACCCACAGAGCGTCTAACTCTACTGGCATCTCAAGCAACTACTTTTCTATACTGCAAATGGCCCATGCAGCCACATCTATTAATAATAAAGTTGACATTATTGCAATCTTTCACATTTACACTTGTATAGATTTATTTCCCATCTGCTGTTCTCCGGAAATTAGTTTATTTTACACCCGCATGATGAAGCCAATGGAATTTCGCTTTATGCTTGGGTGTTTTTTTTGGGTTTTTTTTAGGAACTCCCCCCCTCCCCCAATATAATCAAATGTGGTCATGGTAGCAATTACCATTTCTATTTTAACGTTATGATGGACTTTGGGGGGAGGGTAAAAAAGGAGATTTAATTCTCCCAAGTGTGCCAGAAGGTTGGATGTCTGCCAGTAGGAAGGGAAGCGAAGGGAGGGAGGGAGGAAGGAAAGAAGGAAGGAAGGAAGGAGAAAAAAGAGTGGGAGGGAAGGAAGGGGGAAGGGAGGGAGGGAAGGAAATGAGATGGAAGAAGACAGAAAAAGAAAGAGAAAAAGAGAGAAAAGGAAGGGAGGAAAGCAGAAGAAAAAAGAAAGAAAGAGAAAGAAAGAAATGAATGGAGAAAAGAAGGAGAGAGAGAGAGAGAGAGAGAGAGAGAGAGGGTGGGATGGAGGAAGGGAAAACCCCAAAAAAAGGAGAAGAAAGAAAGAAAATGGGAAAGGAGGAAGGAAGTTAGAGGAGGGAAAGAAAGAAAGTTCTCATGAACTTGGCTTTTGTCCACCCCTGAAGAATCAAAGAGCAATAGGTTCGTAGGGGAAAAAAGCCCATATTTAAAATCCTTTACATCTTCAAATTCTGCCTCCCAGCTCATTGCAACCCACCCCTCCCTTTGCTTGCTGTCCAAGACAACACAAAGACCAAATTTCCTTGCCCCTCCCTCAAAAAAGACCCCCCACCTGCCTGATTAACTTCTGAGGTCCCACCCAGCTTTCTCCTCCATTGCTTGTCCCCCGTTTGGTTTCCACCTTGAGGGAAGGTCAAGGGGCTTCAGCTCAGGGGGAGAAGAGACCCCCCCTTACCGTCCATCCTCCACCATCTGTGGTCATGTCACAGTAAACCTGGAACCCCTCCGGGTAGTGAGTGGGGAAGATGGAGAAGACCCCGTCCCCTTGTTGTCCACCGGCATAGACGTCAAAGCAATCCCGAGGCCTCGAGCCTGTAGCAAGATATGGAATAAAAGGATAATTTGGTCAGAAGCATGGGGGAAACGAAGCAGGCAGGAAGGTTAATTAATAGCCTAATTAGAGCTTCACTGAGTTCTAATTGTTTATGGCTAAATTGCCTTTTCTTCTCCTGGTTTCCAGACCCTGGATGAACTTTGAAGGCTCCCTTGGTGGGTCAAATGGAGCCCTGGGTTGAGACCTCAGACTTGATGGAGGACAGGGAAAGAGATTTCTCCCTCAGCTTTGCCAAACCACAAAAACACGTATTTCGGTCCTCCTGGCTAACCGTGGACCTCCTACAGGAAGGTGGAAGGTTTTTGATTTTGTTTCTGAGCAACAGTCTGGTTACCGATGGAGATGTTGGGCTCAGCTGTGGCCCATAACTCGAGGACCCCCTGTACTGCTGGCTCAAGAAGGAGAAGGGGGGGAGATGACCCACCGTTCGGACATCCTTTGGGCCGTGGGCCCCGAGACGGGATCCGCTGGAGGTCCGCCTTCATCCGTGGCCGGGCGAGGCTCCGCTCCTTTTGTAGCGTGTCCAGAATGTCGCTGACGGAGCTCACCAACCGCGCGATGTGCGTCTGGCTTTCGGAAAGCAGCTGCGTAAAGAAGCATAAATCCAAATATAATAAATAATGATTCCCCCTCCCAGTTTGTTTGAAAGCTCAAACGTGACCCCTTCACTCAGAAAATGGCTAGTTTCTTCTACAGGCTGCACCCCACAATTGAAAAACTAGGGGTCGTTTCCATCAATGTCTTAATTCGGTCAATGTATTGATCTGACCTTTGGATTAAACTTTTGATTTTGAAGGCGGGTGGTTTTTATAGTTCACCAGCCGGTGTAAGCAATATTTCTGATTCCAGACCCCTGCCGGCTAGGAAGCAAAGATGCTCTTGCCTTGTCAAATACAGCAGGCAGATATTTATCACAATTTTGGTGAATCATGCTTGCCAGTAGTATATGAGCCCTGCCACTGACTATGGTCTCTTTTTTGCAAAAGATAAATTATTTTGATTTCTGCTCAGAAGCATAAACGGCTTTAAAAGAGCAGCAGTCAGAAAGTTTCTGGGGAACATTTCAGCCTTCTAAGATTTGATTGAAAATCGACATCAATGCACAAAGCAAAACTCTAAACAAACACGAAACGTTCAAATTTGCAAATTAGTGGGGAAAAAATATTGTTTTCTTTGTCTTTTGAAATTTTCCCCAAATGTATTTGAGCAACGCAAGTGAAATCTATGGTTGAATATTCGAGATTGCTGTAACATTTAAGTCCAAGCATGGGCTTATGTTTGTGCCAAAAAAAGGAGTCTCAGATTTAAGTTCTAGATGTCCCAGAAACAGGTAAAATCTGAAGAATGTTGGCTGTTATGAAGTACAGGAACTGCTCAACTTTCAACAGTTCATTTAGTGACCAAGAAAAAGCAAAAAAGTCCAGTTGCCCCTTTGGGACAACCCTGACCTGGATGACAGGGAATTTCCACAGACATTTAAAAAATGGGGCAAAAATAAGTATACTGAATCTCCCCAGAGAAGGAGTGGAATGGACAAAGCATAGAGGGCGACTGTTAAATAATAATTAATGTGGATTAAAAATACAAGCCAGCATTTAATTTATCCTGTCTCCTGTTCTTTGAGATCAGGGCTTATAACCCCCTTTCCCCCCCCCCCCTCAGCTGTCAAAAATGGCTTGGGAGGGAAAGAAGAGGTTCATCTATAAAGGAGCATGTGGAACCCTGACAAAAATCTATATTAATTTTTGTTTTATGGACAGTTATATTTAATTAAAAACCAATACAGGGCCCACAATGACTTTCCAATCTCGCAGTTAATTATTTCCCCTTCTGTCACGCTAGGTCTCAGAGAAAACTTCCCAAATTTTTGCGAATCACAGAGTCCTCAAACTTCACGTGGCACAATTTTACTGTGGTTTTCATTTCCTTTTGGGGTTTAGTTTTAGTTTTAGTTTTAGTTTTAGTTTTAGTTTTAGTTTTAGTTTAGTTTAGTTTAGTTTAGTTGTTTCCCCATGACTTACAACCACAGCTGAGCCCACAATTTCTGTTGCTAAGCGAGGCAATTGTTAAATGAGTTTTTCCCCATTTTGCCCCATTTTTTTTGTCATTAAATACCTGGTCATAAATCAAAGACTACCTGATGTGGGGGAAAAAAAAGTTTTATATCCATCTCCTTCCATTTCAATTTTTGGTGGCTTAGAAGATTTCTGTCTGCGGAATTTTCTTAGCCACAAAATAAGCCATTTGCTTCCTGTTGTGAGGCTCAGAGCTAAGCAGGATCCAGCCTGCTTATCAATTGGAAAGGAGACCACTGGGAAACCCTCATTCGAAGAAACATCAGAGAAGGTAACAGCAAGTGATTTCCACGTAGCTATAAAAATTCCACGGATGTGAGCATCCTATCCACAACAACCTAACTCCGTTTTCCATTCTTGAAAAATCAGTTGGAGAACTTATCCCGCTTCTGAGAGAAATTGGAAGACGTCCCCCACCCAATTTCCCCAGCCACAATTTTGCATTTTTGAAAAGCTGTTGAGGCCGTGCTTCTTTTATCTTTCTCTCCTAGACTTCGCATCCTGCTTCTAAAAAAACCCGCTGCAACACAGTTAAGGAGCAAAGAAATTGTTGTGGTAAAGAAAGCTTGGTTATATATCAAAAAAAGGAACAATCTCAGCTGCCCTGTTGGGTCTTGTGCCTGCTGTTTTCAAAAATTACCCAATTTCCAGTGAAAAGAAGACCGAGTGAGGTAAGATTCTGGAATTCTGTAATAACCGGTTGATGTAGCTTTTCAGATTTGCATGCAAGGCCACCTGAGAGTCAGCCTCGGCCAGATATGCAAACGGCTTCACAAAATTAAAAAAAAAGGAAACACACCCCATTATGTACACACCGCAGTTGTGCTCTCGAAAAGGCCAGCTTACAATGGCAAGAAGCTAAAGCAGGCACTTTGCATTTCATTTCAAAAAAATAAATAAATCTGCAATTCAGAATTGAATATTGCCCTCGAAAAGCACACGGCTTGGCGAAAGATTAATTAGCACTTTAAATTGCGTCGGGTCTTTAATCTTGTCTGGAAAAATTGCCATAAAATGGGAACCTCTTCCAAATATCCAGGGCTCTGACCAAGATTGTTTAAAGATGGTTTGAAGCGGCTGTTCTTGGTTCCAGCCCTTCAAGCAAGTCTCACCTCTGAGCATGTCGCGTCTTGGACTCACCTGTATGAGGCGCCCTTGCTCGTTCTGGAGGGCGCTCAGCTCCTGCCCGAGGGCGCCGTGGCCCTTCTTCAAATTCTCACAGTCCGTCCGGAGCTGGGTGGTGTGAGAGAGCAGCTTGGAGACCTCGTCCGAGAGGCCCACCAGCAAGGCCCGGTCCTGCCCCGCGGAGGACTTGGTCTCGGCCTCGTGGTCCGTCACGACTCGCAGGAGGGACGTTTGCAGGCTCTCCAAGCGGACGAAGCTGTTGGCTTGGCTCGGACAGTTCGGGTCAATGAAGATGTTGATGCGGGAAGTGTCGGCTTTCTCAATGGTGACCAAAGCGTTGGCGTCGTCCGGATTGGTGGTGATGATGGGCGGGGATTCGGTGACCGGGGTGTGGTAGTGGTTCATGAAGAGGATGGCGGCGGTGACGGTGACGGCTAAGAGAATCACCACAGAGAGGAGGATGGTGCAGAGGATGTAGCTACAGTTCACCCTCTAGGATCAGACAGAAGGTGGAGAGGTCATTTCGGAAGCCCACCATGATGTCGCATGGAGAAACCCAACCCAGTCCATCCAGCCCTGTGGTTCTAGGTTCTAGGTTCAATCTTGCATGACCTCAAAAAGCTCAACAGAACTGGACTGTATCCCTGTGTTTATCCATTAAACAAATTTATATGGTTCGTTATAAAACTCTTAACAGGTGATTTCCAGTGGATTACAAGTAATAAAAAATCCACGTGAGACCCCCTAAAATTCCATCCCATACCACGGCAGCAGCAACACATGGTTGACTCTGGCTCCATTCATGGTCCCCAAGACTGAGGGGGAGGGGTGACTGGCCCAAAGTTACCGAGATGGCCGTAAGGCATGACTAGAACTCACCACCTCTTGGTGATTGGCCAAAGTCACCAAGCCATCTTGGAAGTACTCTAATATAACCCACTGCTCAAGCAGGAGCCCCTATACCATTGCAGACAAATGGTTGTCCAGTCTCTTCTTGAATGGAGTACCCCCAACTTCTAGAGACAAGTCGTTCCACTGGTTAATTGTTCTAACTATCAGTAAATTTTTCCTTAGTTCTCGGTTGCTTCTCTCCTTGATAAGTTTATATCCATTACTACTATCATCTATCCCTCCCTCCCTATTTTCCTATTTCCCTCTCTCCCTCCATGTCTTTTATCCATCCATCCATCCCTTCTATCAGTTTATCCATGTCTTCTATCATCTGTCTGTCTGGCCATCCATCTCTCTCTGTATCTCTTTCTCTCTTTCTTTATCTATCTACTTATCACCTCTTTCTAGGTTTTTTTTTTGTATTAAATCCTACTCCAGTTTAATGCCGTAACATTTTGTGGAGATCTGCCAGCCAGGTATTAAAGAGGCAGACCCTGGTTAGCTTTCAAATGCAAAGTTATTAAGATGGTTCAGAGCCCAATATATCTGCAAGCCAACACAGGAAAGCAGTGTGTTAGGAGATGATGATTAATCAAATGTATGTGCCATCCAACTCCCAATGTCTAAAAATGAGTCTATTTTTTTTATAAAAAAAAAAACAATCCAGAAAACAGAAGTGTAGAAGAAAACAATGGGATAAAAATAAATAAATAATATCCCCACAAATTAACTAACATATTATGAAATTGCAGTACCAAAAATAGAAAAAACTGTCCATCCAACAAATGTACAGGGAAAAAAACCCCTTAAAAACGAACCTAATTAACATAAACCACCCAATTATGCCTACATTCATTTCATCGTGTAATAACAACGTATCAAACTGTACATCAAAGTTTATTTACTCTTGAAAAATATTATGAAATCTGTGCCCAAGGGAAACGACGGTGTCATATATTTTTTTATTAGTAGGAAAAGAAATTGCCTTTTCAAAAAAATGGGTAAATGACATATTTGGTGGGTCTATTCTTTGATTTCTGGGATCATAGTACTTTTCCAACCACTGAACATAATTCCCTTGGCTGTTTCCCATAAATGATATTTACAATATCAAAAATGGTCAGATTGCACAGTTTGCGGATATACAGGCAGTTCTCGGTTTTCAGTCGCAATTGAACCCTGAATTTATGTTACTAAGTGAGACATTTGTTTTTGCCCCATTTTACGACCTTTCTTGCCATAGTTGTTAAGTGAATCACTGCACTTGTTAAGTTAGCAACACGGTTGGTAAGTGAATCCCCATTGACTTTGCTTGTCAACAAAACTGTTTTTGTTCCAGCTGCATTCTCATAGTCAGACCTTAATCCTTTCCATTGGAAAATAAGATCTTTTTTTTTTTTTTAAGTTCAGGCATAGTGATTAAAGCCAGAGGGTTAGGAGAATGGACAGAAGTGACTGATAGAGGCAACAATGTTTGATTTGTGTTTGAATGTCCATTTGTCATTCACACTGAGCAAATGGGAAAAAACTAGGTCTATATTTGGGGTGTGTCTTTGGAGATATGTCCTTCGGTAGATTAAAAGATCTCGATTGAGTTATGTCTGGATTATCCCCAATTAATTATTTTCTAATTCTTATTTTGGTTACTTGTTAGCGATTGCTCTCTCCCTCTCCCTCTCCCTCTCTCTCTCTCCCTCTCCCTCTCCCTCTCCCTCTCTCTCTCTCTCTCTCTCTCTCTCTCTCTCTCTCTCTCTCATCTCTCTCTTTCTCTCTCTCTCTCTCTCTCCTCTGTCCT